AACTCATATGTATAATTTAATCAAGTTTGGACCATAATTCCTCAAGAAATTTGATCAAATCTTCAAAAGGGCAAAATGGTCAAAATTAGGGTTTTGATTGGGAAAGGGCAATTTCTGATTTTTGACCTAGCAAATGATCAATTGATTTAAAGCATGATCTCAAGAGTCCAATTGCATCACTTTTACCTAATGACATAGCTCAAAACACTGATCAAGTCCAATGGATTGACAAATGAATTTTCAGTCAATTGATCAAAAGTCAACTGTATACTAAAAAGTCAAACTTTGACTTTTTGGTCAAAATCAAATGTAAAAGATCACAATTCATCAAAATATGTCAAAATATGAAACTTATTCATCAAGAAATCCAAAATTCAAGATTTCATTTTGAAAAGTTAAAATTCCTAAACTTAGAAATTTTTCTAAGTGTTGGAAATTTCTTATTTTTTCACAACATTGAGCAAAATTTTCACCATGATGCAAGGTGATTCAAAAGAAACTTTCAATATGAAAGTTGTAGATCTCCATGAAATCTACAACATTGCTTTACAAAATTCCTTCCAAAAGTGCTTGGATCTCAAGTTATAATTTTAAGAACACATAGTCATGAAACAAAACACTTAGTGAAATTTTGCCCTAATTTGGTCAGGATTTTGACCTAAATTCATAGCACTTTTTCATATAGTTACAAGGGGAATTTTCAAAAGTGATTCAAAGAGGGGTTGTAGAGAACATTACAAGCTTTCCAAAATGTCAAAGAACTCCTTGAGATCATTTTTGAGTAGGGAGAATCGAAGAGATGAAGTTAGGGTTTTCACACTTGAATTACAAGTCATTTTGTGATGAACAAGATTCAAAATTCAAACTTATGCTGCATAACCTCTACTTTGCAGGCCTCAAACTTGTTAGGAACTCCATAATTAATTTCTTTCACATCTTTTAGAGGTATCAATTCAAGCATTCAATGCAATGCCATGCTTTATATCCATTTTGGGAAGAAAGTGCACAATGCCATTTTGATAAAGTAGCTTATCCATTTTGGGAAGAAAGTGCACAATGCCATTTTGATAAAGTAGCTTTTTGCATAAAACTTATTCTTGAGCTTTGCACTTGTTCTCTTTTGATCATACATGTCTTATAACTCAAGAAAAACTTGTTTAGACACTTACAATCACCCAGCCCATGCTTGTACTACACATTGAAACGTGTTTTCCCACTTTTCTTCAAAATCAAGTAACCTAGCAATTGGCTTGTAACTTGTACTTCTAACTATCCAAAGCACTCAAGACCTTTTTATTATACATACACAAGTTATTTTCCACAAATCCCACGCATGCTTAAGCCCTGAAAACACCAAGAACACGGAATCACCAAAAACACCTCAAAACTTGTCATTTCTGAGTTTTGAATCCAATCTCCAAATTTACTCGTGCGTTTCTTGTCCTTTTACTTTCAAAAGCTTCTAAACAACATACACAAACAATCCCAACACCTACAATACCACTGTAACACCTCCATCATCATCCACCATTTTCAAAAATAACACCTTGCACCTTGACTTCTCCAGAACTCCTCAGACACTTTCAGTTCAAGCTAAGCATCACTTTAGCTTCCTGGGAACTTGAGGAATCTAATCCAATCATTAGAACTCACTGAAAGCAACTCAAACTCCAAACATGATACCCTCTTACAAGGTAATTTTTCTGACTTTTGAACTCTTCATACAAGCATCATTAATGGTTTCTTTGTGAATGAAAAATGTAGATATCATTGCCCTAAAGCTAACCATGTCCATAGTTTTCATTTATATTGCTCGAGCTTAGAGAATTTTAGGATTGAAGTTTCTGAAATTTTTAGGATTCAGATTAGGGTCATTAAAATTCATGCTTGTCTTTAATCTATAATTTTATTGCTTTGCATTTCTGAACTCGTGAGGAAATTTGCTACAAGTTTCCTGTTTACACTTTTTATTTTTGTTGAGAATTGAATAAGATACAGAGGTTCTGGCTGGACGAGAGGTTGAAGATGAAGTTGGCCTCAGGAACATGTTTACCATATATATTTATGATTTGATTTATATAAACGGTTGTATAGCCACCCCAATGGTAGAAGCGCGCGCCTGTGACTATATGGACCTGGGTTCGAGCCCCAGTGGTACCCTTTTGGATTTTTTTTCATATTTTTCACATTCTGACTTTTCTTTTTTTGGCAGCGCTGGGCCTCTTTCCTTGGGCCTTATGTTTTTTTTTCATTTCTGACCCCCTGGCTGGCTATTCACACCCTGACCCTTTTTTTATTTTCTTTTTCTTATTTTTATTTATTTGTTTTCTTAAATATTTTATCTAATACTAAAAAAATCGGAAAAAATATAAAAACATTAGATTTATATTTTGACATAGTTTATTTATTTTTTACACAAAAAATTATTTAATTTAATCATTAGTTTATTTATTTTACTAATAGGTTTGTAAATTTAATTAAAACTAGGGTTTTAGTTATTTTCTTTTAGATAATTTAAATATTTTATTTTAAAATATAAAAAGAGCAAAAATATTTTATAATACTATAATTTATTTTCAAGACAAAAATACCAAAAAATATTCTTCTTATAAATTTAAATTCTTTTTTAATCAATTAATAGATTAGTGTTTTATTTAAATTCTTTTCCTAGTAAATTTAGGTTTTACTTTTTACTAATTTAATTAATTATTTTTCTTAATTAGGTTAAAACAAAACCCCTTTTCCTTAAAAAATCTAAATAAGTCCATTTTTCTTTACATTTACATTCTTGTATATTTATTCATTTTTGCACATTATTTATTCAATTCTTCTACAAATTCAATATGGTTGTAATAGATAATTAGGCTTTATTTTCTTGTAACCCCCATTTATAATTTGTACACCCCCTCCCACAAGTATTGTAATAGCGTAGTAATTTTAAATTCCGTAATTTATCTCTTTATATACAAATGCTAGTAATTAGGGTTTGTATGAGAAGACTAAAACCAATCAATTAGAAAACCCTAATCAAAGTCAAAACCAAGCATGAAACATAATACACTTGCACACAAGCACCCCTATGGTAAAATCCACTTGATTGCCTTACAAAATGGACATATTATGCATGTGAGGTATCTTAGCAAAAACAAGTAAAAATACAAGATCATAGTCCCTCGATGACGCTATCGAAGTTGTCTTTCAAAATGATCTAGTCCCTAAAGAGAATGCTAAGATACCTTGCAACATTGCTAATCATGGTTATACGATGACTCACGTTCATCCCGTTTACATCCAAAGATAGGGTTACTTACCAAATCGATGGTAAGATAACAATGTCAAAGGAAAGAGGAAATGAACATGAAAGACTTTTGAGTAGGTAGAATGCTCCTAATTACTTACTCCATTTCAAAACAAAATATCCTTGCTATTTTTAAAACAAACACCTACACTTTCAAAACATCTTACAAACTTGAAAATATTTTCAAAAGATTAACATCTTTGTATACATTCTTACGAACGAGAATCATTACAAAGTTTGCCTAAACAATAGCCTCTTTACAAAATACTTTCAAAAATCACACAAAGCACAATTTCAAACAAAAGCAAGTGATCTAGCAAGTAACTAAGAGTCCATGGAAAACCATGGATGAAAAGGGTGCTAATACCTTCCCTTTTCATAATCTACCCCCGAACTCAAGAAATAATCTCAAAGGTCTTTCCTGTGCTTTTTCACCTTTCCTTTTGGATAAAAGAAAAGTCAGTGGCGACTCTTGCTAACCGCAACATTTGCGATAAAACGCAAAATATCCCAAGTCAGTTCTCCCACCGTATCACACACACCTTTACAATAAAATCTTAAATATATATATAGAGAGAGAGAGAAATAACGACGTCGCTTATAAGTCATATAAGCAGGACTGTATAAATTTAATTACGGAGACCAAGTTTAATATTAAAACATGAGTAATATTCGAGATTCATTGACTTAGAGACGTCTTAGTCAATATTTTTTAGGAAGAAAAATTATGACTTCCTCATTTGTGTTTAAAGTAGTTACTGAATATTTAGGTAATATGCTTTATTTATATGAAGTCAGATCAAAGTGATCCTAGTCGATGCTTTGACAAATCTCTAGGACGAAATAAATTTGTGGCACATCGAGGGGAATTGAACTTAACCAATTGAAATTAATAAGTGATGGGAACCCAACCTTTGTGATTGGAGATCCCATGAAAAAGGTTCATATGGGTAAGAACAAATCACTTTTTAGTTTTGCTAGCACCAAAAGTTATATGATTAATTTTTGTTTGCGTCTTTTTTCTATGGTGTAAGTGAGAAAGTGCTAGACACTGCACTGCTGAGAGGATAAACTTATATAGATTTTAATGAATTTCATATCCTTTATTGGTGGTGTATGATTTGCAGCATATACTTGATGAAATCACCTATATGAGTGTCGAGTAGGGCCGCTTGTATGAGATCTTGACGAAATCTCTAAAACACTCATAAAAATAACTAGGCACGCGCATGACCTATCAGCGCACCACATCGTCAACAATAAGAATTATGGGAGTGTGATGTGGGTGGTATACCTCTAACATACATAAAATGTTTTTGGTTCATATAGCTTGCTATAGCAATTTCACTATATGTTAAGTACTATCATTTTAGGACTAATTCATATTACTACACTAGTTTAATGCATCACATCCATAATGTTAATTCAGAAGAAAAAAAATTTATTCTTCTTTATGTGGAAGATTGTTGTTGTAAATTTTGATAATATTTTAAAAGTTTTAATAGTTTTTGTCTCAATTATTTAAGTAACAAATATTAAAAAAAAATATTTTGAAAGAAAATTATTAATATTATTATTATTATTATTATTATTATTATATTTAAAATTATTATAAAAAATTAATATGATTAATAATATATTTATTATAATATTGGCTTGACTTAGTCCAAGTCATTAAACATTATTTCTCTCCCTCTTATATATGCATACTCTCTTATTTTTGTACAAGGTAGAAAATATGGAAAACACTTAGCCTTTAATCAGACAAACATTTTTGATACTTCCTTTTCTTTTTTTGTTCTTTTGCTATCGGGTTACATCTTTCAGTCATTTAAGAGAGTATGTTTTGTTGTTCTGATACCTCAAATTTATAACGAGAATCTGGAATCAAGTTGTGTTGGCCAGGCCAGATTCTACAACAGTTTACATGTTAAAAATGCAGAAAATACATCTTTTAATCTTGCCCGCAAAGTGTTTGATAGAATGCTTTAATCAATTTCTCACATTTTTTCTCCTTAAATCTTTTACTTCATGATGTTAAATTATTGTTGTTGTAGATGATTGTTGTTGTTGCAGGTTGTGGTTTATGAATCGGTATCAAATTGTTGTTGTTACCACCGTTTTGCAACTTGTACGGTAAGTATTTGGTAAATTGCCTCAACCGAGTTTCTTTTCCTTTTTCGCTTTTGTTTTGAATCCTACAAGACAACCGTCTCTCGCAATGAAAACTTGGGTAAACTTCAAGCTGGTTATCTCTTTCCTGAGGTATGTCATGTTGCTCGATCTATCTATCTGCTTTTGGTCTTTCTCTTCATTTATCTGTTAAAAAATCATTCTCTGGTTGTTATCTTCCTTCCTCTTCACTGATCTTGTTTTGTTTTTCCATTTTATTGCATAAAAATAGATTGCTAGAAGAAAGTCTGCACACTTGCTCAAGTACCCTGATGCAATAACAATAAGCCTTGGGATTGGTGATACTACTGAACCCATTCCTGAAGTCAAAAGTTCTGCATTGACAAAGGTAGAACATTGGTGTTAGTGAAGCCGATGTATGTGTCTTCCATGTTTGCACTTTCGACAGTAGAAAATAATCTGTTTTGTTTCTCTTTTTTCTCTGCTTCGGATGCCTTATTTTGATGTTGTCATCTCCCATTGTGTGTCTAATTGCTTCTGTTTAAGTTTGTCTTTTATTGCTAGTAAAAATGTAATATTTTGTAGGGGTGTATGTAAAGAATTGTAAATTATAAAATACTATATTAATTCAATTGTTTGGTTCTAATGCTAAAATACTACAATATTTTTCCTTCTTTCAATTATTCAGAAATTACTTGCATTGTCAACCTTGCAAGGATACAGTGGTTATGGAGCTGAACAAGGTGAAAAGATATGTTATATCAATATCTTTTAGTAATTGTGGTTTTTTTATAGTCTAAGTATGTATTTTTTAAACTTTTAGCTACCATTTTTTTGTTCAAATTTCATAATTTTTCTGGCTCCGCCAATATAAGCACTTAATCTTCGAATTAATGACATACATGTTGTCATACACTAACATGATAGTAACACATGTAGTTATATTCACACTTTTCATTTTCCCAAATTATTTATATTATCACATATGAGTGTCGTGCCTAGTCTCTCGTAATCGTGTGTAATTGTGTACACTATACTAAAGTTGAAGATGAGAAGCAGTCATGGGCTGAAAAATTGGATCATCCTTCAAAGCATCCACAAACTCAGGCCACAAGATAGCAGAAACAGTCCAAGAACCATCACCTTTACCACTTTGCCTTTGATTCATATAACCAACACCAACCCTTTCAATACAAGTATACACTGTCCCAAACAAAGGACTCCCAAATCCAAAATCAACTTCACTAACAGGAAACCTTTGTCCTGAAGAAACCACCAGCACAGGTCCATCATCTTGTCCTAACACCGCCTTCGCAAGCATCAAGCCCGGCCTATGAAACTCAATCCAATCAATCAAATCCAAAAAATGTTCTTCATTACTAACCTTTGAAATTGCATCATGAACTATCTCACCAATGTCTGATAAGGAATTTTCCTTCAATTCTTGAATTCTTGCCTCACCAAAAGCCAAAGACAAAACATTACCAATGTAATTCGACATGGAAATATTCTTAATGGTTTTGCTTCCACTCAATCTATCTCTTCCATTTACTAACCAACCCATCTTGCATTTCTTATGAAGGTTTTGATCAATTGTGTTTATCATTATCTTCCATACATAGGCAGAGAAAGCCTCAATCTTTGTTCTTTTAATTCCATTAACCGAACAAAGTCTCTGCAGGGTACTGATACTCGACGCGCTGATATGATAAAGACGTTTAAGCGAAATATTATTATTCATTGACATGTTTTGAATCTCTTCCATGGTGCATTTGATGAAAATTTGATCCAGATAAGGTTGATATTTAGGAGGTGAACGCGCGTGAAGGTTTCTTGTATGATTCGGTATGCATGCTAATGGTTTATTTTGTGCTATTTCACACCATGATGAAATGAATTTACCAAAAGAAGTTGCATCACCTAATGCATGATCAAAAGTAAATGCTATTGAAACTCCACCACAAGTGAATTCTGATACCTGAATTTGTGAAAGAAAATCTGGTTCAACCGAGACTATTTTATCTCTAAGAGTTTCATTGAGATTATAAAACTCTAGATTCTTTAGTGGAATATTTACTTGAGCTTCAATGAGTAATGAACCATTGTTGTCACAAATGATCTCGGGTTCATTGGTTTGATGATTTTGAACAATTTGGCCAGAAAAAGGATAGTAATGATTTAGTGTTTGTGCTAGAGAGATTTTAAGAGTGTCGATAAAAGAGTCGAAGTTACCTAGTTTTGGTTTGTTGTAGAAATATAAGTATGTAACAGGAAATCGACCTGAAAGTAGATCGAGATTTGAAAGAGTTATTGTTGAAAATGGCTTTGGTGAAAGATTGAGAGCTTTTACAACACTTTTCCTAATGAAATTTATTTCAAATTTTTCATATTTTGTGGCAGCAGTTTCCTTTAGAATATGTGACATTTTTGAGATAGTGTTTGGCTTTGGTATTTTTTGTGTTGACGCTTGTGTTAAAAATGTTTATGAGCATATGGTTATATATAGTGTGATTCTAGAGCATGATGATGAACATTGACATTATTGATTGAGATATTTTTTGCTTACACTTTAGAAATGAAGAGTAGTGATCACTCATGAGTATATTATGATGTCATGTCTCATGATTAAATGATGATCTCATTGAGAGTACTCCTTTGTTGGAAAGTTGATGCTTATTTCCACTCATTTTCTTCCAACGGTTCAAATCATAATATACATGAAAACTAAATAAATATTGGTCAAATTTGGTAGGCAAATGGAATTTCAGAATTCAAATAATCAATGTTATGCATACACTGGTGTAAGAAACTATTAGTCTATTACTACTATGTGGTACATTGTGTAGCACTTTCTTGTTTACTAGATATTTACTCTATCATTGAGTGGAGTTTATATAAGTGTTTCTGACTTTAGAAATGGGCTCCACTACATTGGTGATGAAAGCTTCTAGTATGCCACTCAACTCATAAGTGCTCTAAATCAAGAACATTTAGTCTAAATCAAAATTTTGTGATGTCATCGTTGAGAAGTTGGCATTTATATAATGGAAAATTCTATCGTGAAGTTGTCATTTTGATTTTTTTTATAAAAAAGTCACAATTTTAGCCAATTATAAAGGTTCTTGAAATCCTAGTATGTCATATAAGATTATATCTTATATTCAATTTATTATGTAATTTCATAATTGTTAATATTGTAATTAAGTTCTAACATATTTGCAACTAAGTCTCATTCATTATTCATTCAATATAATTAATTAATTTTTAACTTCAAATTTGATATTTTAATAAAATAAAATTAATTTAACTACTGAAATAACTTCATTTATTTCAGTTCATCTTCTTCCCCAACCAACTCCAACGAACACAACTTCATCTTCTACAATTTCATCTTCTGCAATTTCATCTTCTTTACTATCCACATTCATCTCCATCCAAAGCAATCGTAAAACGACCACTAACGAATACACATTTCATCTTATTCTTCCGCAATCGTGAGTTTTCTTCCTTGCAACACTGTTCAACGTTATCTCATTCATTCGCGCTCCTCACACAGTTCGTATTGATACCCGATTTGCTAAGGTAATTGGGTTTAATATTTAATGATTTCAAGTTCTTATATGATTTCAATTTGGAAATTAGGTTTTGTGATTAATGTTGTAATCTGAACTTGTATTTCAAATTTAATTTTTCCGATTTTACATATGGTAGCTATTAGTTAATTTGGAAAAAAGTTATCTCAAATTGAGATTTTGGTTATATGATTGATGTCATTGTCTGCACTTGGATTTTAAAATAAAGGATAATCATTATGTTAGTTAGTCAATATGTATGTTAAGACTGCATTTCAATTTGGAAAATAGGTTTTATCATTGGTGTTGATTATTTTTTGTGTTATATATCGGCCGATTTCAGATGGACAACTATGCCGACTCTGTTGGGGTTGATTTGAACAATGTTCATAACAGTGATTCATCTGATGCTGAATGTAGTTGTGATGAAGATGTTAATTATGTTGTTTCTAGTGGCCATTAAAGTTCAAATGATGAAAATGAATCTGATAATGACGATGGTGAGGAATCAATTGGATCAGAAGTGACAAATAGTGATGCAGTTGTAGATGGTAGAGTAGTGAGTATAATTTTGATTACTTCCGACGAAATTCATGCTTTGGAATTTGGAACTGTGAGTGAAGCTTATGAATTTTATTATAGGTATGGAAAATATAAAGGTTTTGCCATTAGGAAAAGCGATGTTAGGCGGAGATGGCCCGAAGGTAGTGAAATAGTAGTAATGAGGCAGTATGTATGCAACAAACATGGATTAAGAGACCAGAAGCGCATGTATAGGGTAGATAGGAAAAGAGAACATCGATGGACGACACGTACTAGTTGTGAACTTAGGCTTTGTGTTCACTACAATAACAAAAAGGGGAAATATGTAGTAAAGTTTGTGCATCTACACCCATGTTATCATAAAATATCAGAGGCAGATAAAGCTCAAATTGATGGTCTTCAATCACATGGAATCAGAACGTGTCATATAATAGGATACATGGTTGCTCAAAAGGGTGGATATCATGATGTTGGTTTTACAAAGAAAGATTTATACAATTATGCTGACAAAAAATGCATGATGTTATTAAAGATGGCGATGTTTCTGCTGCTCTAAATTATCTCAACATGAAATCATCTGCGAATCCTATGCTATTTGCGGAATATTCTATAAATAGTGATGGAAGATGAAGTCACTTTTTTGGCAGACGACACTATTAGATCAGACTATTTCTATTTTGGCGATGTTGTTGCGTTTGATATAACTTACCAAAAGAACAAATACAATTATTCGTTGGTTATATTTTCTGGGTGCAACCACCACTCACAGACTGTTATATTCGGTGTTGCATTGGTGTCAGATGAAATGACAGAGACGTATAACTGGCTCTTGAGGTGTTTCTTAGAGTGTATGGAAAACAAACATCCAAAAGTAGTGATAACATATGGAGATGGGGCTATGAGGGAGTCTATAAAACATATTTTTCCTGATGCGATCCATCGGTTGTGTGCTTGGCATTTGAACAAGAATGCAGATGAAAATGTAAAGAAGTCACATTTTTGGAAAGTTTTAAAAAAGCAATGTACTCTAATTTTACTCCTTAGAAATTTGAAGAATTTTAGTCGCAGCTGGTTAAGGAGAATGATCTTGAACAAAATGCTTGGGTTTCCAAAACATATGAGAACAAGTCATTTTGGGAAACTGCTTATCTACGTGATAAGTTTTTTGGTCGTATAAGAACTACGTCTCAATGTGAAGCTGTTAATGCAATAATCAAGTCTTATGTAAACAAAAAAGTGTGCATTTTTGAATTTATGCATAATTTTGATAAGACATTGGGAGATTACAAAAATAATGAACTTGTTGCTGATTTTAAATCAAAGTGTTCGGATCCTGTGTTGACAACTCATCTGCGTCTGATTAAGATCGATACTGCTAAAACTTATACAACAAAGATTTTTGAAGAAGTAAAAGAAGAAATTATGAAGGTTGGTGCATTAATTGTGAAAGAGCATTATCAGAAGGGAAACGATTGTTCTTACATTGATAAAATATTGTGAGGCTGGGTTTGAAAGAGAAGTTGTATATGATGCATCAGATAAAATATTACAGTATTCGTGTAAATTATTTGATTCACGTGGACTACCATGTTCACACATTTTTATGTCATGAAGGAAGAGCATATGGATAACATTCCTAGTAGTTTTGTATTGTCGCGTT